CCTGCGGCTTGTGCCATATTCATCTGCTCTGAACCCAATTCAAGGCGCATGGGGTGTGATCAAACAGAGAGTGAGGCAAAGGATGCGTGAGCAGTGCAGCGTATAACTTACGAATGACCCTTCTGGCTTGATGTCAATGCGCGAATGGTGCATGTAATGCCTGGAAGAAGTCTGTCGTGGAGCGGAGATACTCGTGACAGCAGTATGTTACCAAATTCTCGTGAGACACGTCATGAATTTGTACGCCAAAGTCATCCAGTTGGAAGATTTATGATAATTTCCATGATAATAAACGTTTTTACTCTTCCATTTTTGTTGCTGTTTCGTGTTTATTATGCGGATTATGTTTGCACTGTCCAAACAAGTGCGGAAGACCAACATTCGTAATGTTGCCCACTAGAGTCAATAGGCTGATTTCTTTTTGTTGGTCGCGAAAGCTCTGGCCAGGTTCTTTGGATACGCGTCACATTAACCACCCACACGAAAAGCTTCAGCTGTCTATCTGAGGGAGGGGCAACATTAAAATTGTCAGTGTTATTCGGCCGCTTGTCTAAGAACAGTGCAACTGAAGTTGACAACATACTTGGTTACAGCATGACGGCTGTTTGTATATGCACACACAGAGCAGCGGCGGTGATTGGCCAATCGCAATCATTTTCATAAGCCACCAAAACAAGGCTTTGTCTATTCACCATGAAGCTTTCTCGTTTAGCCATTGTGATGCAACTGAAGCTGTAGAAAATGTAAAATATCGCACGAATCAAAGAACCGAGCGTTTTATCGAATGCGGTCAAGACCAGACACAAGAACTTTCCGTGTCTATCAGTCATCTGACTCACAGGTAAACGTACTCACCACTCAACACAAATATCCCAACCCCGAAACAGATTGTCGAGCCCCCTTTCCGTGGTATATGATATCAGTCATAGACATTTTGCACAAGACAGCATAAATGCTGTCCCAGTTGTCACGCGACCGAGCCTAATACACGGTCTCTTTCAGTGCTGTGCTGAATATTGCAAACGTTCAACCCCCATTTCACGCGGTCCGCTACCACCCCTTTTGTACCGAAAACACTTCATGCATGTGACCATGAACGTTCGTGATGAGTACTGTTCAGTCAATTGCTTGTTTGCTTGGTCAAGTGAGAGATGTGGTTATCGTGTTAGAGACCCAACCAAACCCTAAAGCGCTCCTTTTTGTTTCGTATTCAATCAAGCCTTCGTCGGTTTGCACATGGTGGCATAGCTCAGAATGGATTGTGGGTTACATTATCCAATCTGTGTGTGCAAACAAGCAGACAAGAGCATCGTGGTGCATCTTTTTTGTTGAGCGTGGGACGATATTTTCGGGGACCATAGATTTGTATGTAGGTCGGACGCACATGGATCTGTGTAACTAGGGGTCCACTCGAACGTTTTCACTCTGTACTGTGCAAGGTATTATCCACACAGCAACTTGGCATCTTCAATCGATACTCGGACATCTTAAACTCACATTGCAACAACCTTAATTTACATTCGGACATCTTAAACTCAAAAAGTTATAGTACACGTAGATTACCGAGATCGTGTTCTATGTGCATGGACTTGGGATTTGTTTTCTGCGCTTCACTCTATCACCGGACTTCATTCCGGTACACCCTATACAAGGAGATGGCATGTATAGGTACATAAAATTTTATGTAATTGCCAGTTGAGAAGCAAACGCAACCAAGCTTATTTGCCGAACTGCTCTGACTTTCAACGTGTGCCCCCGGTTCATTCTGGGAGTATATTTGTTTCTGAGATTTCCATAGGGGGACAATCAAACTCTTATGATATTGATTCGTTGTTCGGCTAGTAGAACGTCTACTATTGAAAACCCAAGGTAGTTTTATCAGTAGGCTACAGTTCTGTTGCGGTTAACCGATCATGTGGTTTTGTCTTTTTACTTTTGTTTTGGTGGTGGGGGGGGAACAAATGGTTCATTTCTTGCCGCAATTGATTGATGAAATTCCTTCCTTCCGGTTTGACACATCTGTTTGTATTTTGAAGATTTTTTTCTATAACGCTTTTCATGATACCGCAAACACAATTCTGAGGGCCATCAGACCGGTTTATTCCAAATTATACAAAGTATGGCATCAAACCGCTCTACATAAATAATGTGATTGTTATTTTTGTCAGGCATCTTTGTTACCCATAAACTTCCACTGGTACTCGTGAAAATTACTGATGGTTTATTTTTGCAATTCTAATCGAAACTGAAACAACGGGTCCCTGTGAAACACTTGTGGGTTCGTATGGGCAACAGCCCTTTATACTGAAGTAAATGTTTTTCGACATAATATTAAACAGGTCTTGGTGAGTCTTTATAGTTGGACTTTTCCTGATTCGCTTATACTCAGCAGATAGAATGGTTCAGATTGTAGCGGACACTGCCATTTCGTCAGTAGTGGTTTACCTAAATCATGATGAGTCAGCTGAAACCTGCCACATTTTAAATTTTTTCACTCTTCTTTGCAGAAGGGAGTATGAATTTTGGGGAAGATCTTCTCGTTGGATAGACGACAACGACGCTTGTGTGCTCGTGCAATTTAATTTCCATCCTCTTTACTAAGATGACGGGAACTTTTAGTTTCGAGCGCTGCACGCTTCACTATGGTGACAACAATACAAACATTCCGAGCTGTGCAAAAAATGACCTTGATTTGAAGGTTGACTTCGATGAAAATGGTAATTCTCGAATTCAGTGAGTTAGCTATCAAATATGATTTATTATTATGAAACCATATTTAATGGAGTTTATCCGGGTTGTGAAAGAATTTCATTCGATTATTCACTGGAGTTGCCAAAGTGGATTATATATTGGATAAATTGGATAAATTAATGCCTTATAACTAATAACCGAGACGGCGAGGGTTTATGGAAATAATTTGGGATAATTCTGGAGCCACTCCTAATAGAATAAATTGCGTTTTCATGCTTGGTAAGGTTTGCATTTTTCAGGTTGAAATCATTTAATCTTGGCAACCAAGGTCAGACACGTTTAATTGACACTCATGCAGCCTAGGAACTACGTAGAACGAACTAGACAAGATATAAATTATGGTTAATACCTAAAGCATTAATACAGGTGATAAATATAATGAAACTCAATTTGATCATGAAGAAAACATTGTAGTTCATCACAATCGACCAGTGTATATTATATATAACATGTATATATTATATATTATATTATTTCATGGAATACAAAAGGTGTGCCTTATTTTCTGGCAGATTTGTGTGACTAGTCAGAAGGTACCGGAGGACTTACAGTAGGAATAACAACAATAACAACAACATCACATAACATGTCCCCCCTTGTTCCAAAGAACTCATTCACAATGAAACTACTATGACCAACTGTAATTCGTGTAGACAGGTGCTTAAGAGATTTGCACAGACTGAATAACCCGGATTTAACGGTTCCGGATCCAAAACTAAAGCTTGATGCCTAAAGTATCAGCAGGAACAAAGAGCACCACTGCCGAGTTCCACCCAACAAGGATGATAAAGGTATGCAGTGTTTGCTATCAGTATGAGAAGAATCTGCTTAGTAAAATGCAAATGTATCAAGAGTGCCTGGTGCCTGTGAACAATCGAATGGTCTAATCCATACTTAATACTCTAAGTTGATTGAGCCCTTTAGCACAAGATGATAACCGGGGACCGTGTAGCTCAGGGGTACGGGATTTGAAATCCCAACCCGAAAGTTCGCGGTTTTAGTCTTGACAAGGACACAAAAAGTGTAAGCACTGCTCACAAGTCTCAAAACAGGACGAAACAACTGTCCCGATGCTCTTTGCCGGTCATCAAAACAATTCCCTTCCTGTTTAAATGTGCTCTTTTCGGTTTTGAAAACTGAGTTTATCCCAAGGTTACAGTAACTGTGAAATTTCTGTCCATCACAAACCAAACCTACCGCGGATGGACATATTACGCGGTTGTGGGTAATATTAGGGACCAAAAATATCCCGTCTGTCTCATGTTCTGGTAATGGTTCAGTATTCCTCTGAAACCGAGTATTAGGTTCTAGCAACACGTTTGTTTGCTCACACGTTTGAGAAACAACGAAATTGCATTTCGACCCTGGTGTTAGACAGATGGGAGTTCTATACTAGCCTAGTGTTTTGTACGTGCTTCATTTTAGTTTTGGCTCAGTTACAACAATAACATTGTTGCCTTGGTAACCCATTTCATGAGTAGATATCACGGATCTGATCATCTTATTTATAATTTTGAATCGTTCAGACTGAAAACTGTCGCGTTTTATCCTGCAGTACCCTTTACACTAGTTTAGCGCCAAAGTGGGAAAACTTTCCCCTCGAGACATGACAACTAGAAATCAACAGAACGGACTTGCAAGTAAACAAGACAGGGTGAAGTAACTAGGATGGGGCCAGATATGGTCCAGATTGCGAGGACCATGGGAGTCCTAAAACTGACTGAAAAACACCCTATCTCCGGGAATGCCGATCCTACCGGTCTATATACCGCCGTTTACCCTCCACAAACATACACACAACCCATTTTGGCAAACTATCTCAGTAGTTGTTTTACGAATCCTTTTTCGAGATTCTGTGAACTGTTTATATGTTCTGTGTACTGACCGGTCTAAACGAGTTAATCAGTGGCCGCTTCTCCTACCTTTCCGACCTGTTCCATCAATATTACTCCCTGGACTACTGAATATGAAAAAAATATTTGCAGGCGATTTGAAAACAACTTCTTGAGAACAATATATACCTAGCATCCAAAGGAACCGGGTGAGTATATATTTAAAACAAAAACAAAATTCATGTAGAAGGAAAACCGATGTTATATTTTGCTTTAAAATTACAAATCAATTGTTAGTGGTCATATTTGATGAGATCAAAATGGAACTTTGGAACGAACACACTGGGCAGGCAGGCAGGCAGGCCAGTTCACAGTTGATTTTGAAAAGGAACAAGTCCAATCATTCATTTCGGACTTCTAGGCCCCCGGACATGAGACCGATTTGAACTCAGTCACGGTATCCAAATTGGCTACGGCCAATTTCATTGAAAAGCATATTTTAAACTGCAATTCAACCTGTTTGTGGATGAAGATGATAATGCGAAAAAATGAGTTTAACTGTTCCTACCAGACATTGTACCGTATCTGAGGTCTTCACGATATCAATTATTCTTGGATATAGATTACAGGCACATACATTTCCCTCTTTCAGGCCGGCTGTTATATGCTTCTTGATCTACAATTGAATGTGTCAACCTCTTTCGGAATCACGTACCGCTGGTTCATACAGCTCGCGTTCGTCATAATTGGGCGCAGCAGCCTCGACGGTTTTGTGCAAACAGATAATTGCCAGCGCGGTCAGAATGAAGAATACGCGCATTTTGATTTGTGGGTGCTTTTGGGAAGCTGTAAAGAAAAACGCAAAAGAGAGGAGAAATACGGTTGTGCTTCTTGAACGATCGATGTGCAATAATTTGAATTATTATTCCCAATCCCATTGCGACTGCCTCAATTTACGCCGGGAGTTTGCGGTCGTTTTGAAAACCCCTGTCGGTGGAGGTTCGTGCACTCACTTCGTACTATGACAAACTGGTCTAGTGATCAAAAATGAAACGAAGTGTGGCCGCTTGGCGAAATGCTACGTTGGATTTCAAGTGTGACTTAATATAGCCGCCAGAAACCGCAAGACGTGTGGTTCTCGAGTAGGTCGAAGTGGTTACAACAACTGCAACCGTTGTGACAAGCCACGACGACTAAACCAAAATGAGTAGTAGGAGGTGAACACAGTTTATAGGTTCCCCAGGTAAGAAATAATGTAACCTAACTAGGTTGCAAACAGCGTCACTTATGAGCGCCTAGCAACCGTCAAAGGTGGTTAATTGTTATGTTCTCCGCCACCACTACCCCCCTACCATCACCACCAACAGTAAAAGCAAAACAGAAATAAGCACTGTTAGCTGGAATGTGGATTCTAACTACTGTTTGTTATTTTTTATATAGTTGACAATTAGCTTGGAAGGTCATTGCGTTGAAATTTCATCTTGTCACTGGAGCAATTGTTAGCTACTTCTTACTGTCCGATTCTACTGCCTCTTTCTGTATTTATTCTTTCACTTGTTCCTGTGGAGCAAAGTATGTTGGCCGCACTATCAGGCGTCTGTCCGAGCGCATCCTTGAGCATCACCGTGGGTGGTTGCGAAGTGGAGCACT